CACATGCATATTCTTAACTAATAAACTTTTCTTTGTAAATTTTTAAGCATCATATTCACCGGATGTTTTCGAAAAATGTAAAAGTTTGTGCTTCTCATATCAGCTTCACCCAATCATCATCCTAAGGAACACAGATTTGATAGCCCTTGTAGATCAATCCTTTAGGACTGTATATTTCTTCTCAGGTGTCCTTAAAAAAATCCCTGTAAGTCTTCATCAACTTATGTGAAGCATCACATTTGTGTCAAGAAGATTGTAGTTGCATTGTTGTTGGTGAAGTCACCTTTGGTCATTATGTTGCACTAACTTATTGTACTCAATGACTAAGTTGAACTGCTATAAGTACACCATCCACTTCATGCTTGTTAAGGCTTTTCTTAGGTTGGGGTGTATTGAAGTGCATTGTGGTATGAATGGACCCTAATCTCAATGCCAAGCATATAAGATTTTTAGTGCTTTATTGCGTGTTAAGGTGCAAGTAATTTTATATTTCAATTCGGGTAACTTTTTTGAATATCGGATTGCAACTGTGAGTAGTATGTCAGATTTCTCACTTCTTGCATTAGAACCATGTTGAGTGTATATCCATAAGCATTGACCTCTACATATTTTATAAGCCTAAGACTGACATGTCTTTTATCATTTTGTTTTTAGAAGAAGAAATGTGTTATCATTTATCTTCTCCCATCTGAATTTTGGGTTAGCCCTATCAATGCCTGATACAGAAAGTTGTGGAGAAGCTTTATCACATATTGGCATGCTCCCATTAAACTTTTAACAATGGTCACACTTGTGACTAATGCCAATCCTTGATTATCTTTTTATTTAGGGCTATTTCTCACTATCAACTTTGGGGCTCAAGTAGTCTATGGTCTTCTTTTCAAAGTCACATTTCTTCAAATTGAGAAGAAGTTGGTATTGTTTGAGGAGGTTAAAGACTTTATGTATGTTTTTGAGATGTTCCTCCTATGATTGACTATAGATGGGGATTTCTTCCATATAAAGGATTACAAATTCCTATATGAGTGGCCTCATGATGTCATTCATACGACGCATAAAGGTCGCTAGCACATTGCAAAGAACAAATGGTATCATCACCCACTCAAATAGTCTCTTTTGACCTTGAAAGTAGTCTTCTTAGTGTTTTCTTCTTAGATCTAGATTTGATGACAACCTAATTTGATGATCACAGGTCTTTAGGATCATATGATGGTGCATGCAATAACTTGATTAGTGTCCCCCTTGAGATGGTGGTGGAAGAGTTATATGGGTAGTAATAAAAGTCTATTCAAAGTTTGGGCTTATTTAAGGCTGAAATTTTTGGTCTTTAGCAGACTACCTTTTTCGTAACAAAAAAAGGATTATGAACTTAAAATCAAAAGTTTGGGATGCGGGGAACTAATGATAGAATTTGTATGAGTTTTAGATTTGTAGTTAAAATGTTGTGAGTTTTTTAACCTAATTGCTAATATCCGGATGTTATTTCTTTGTGCTGGGCTTTTGGCTAGGATATATTCAGTTTAATGTTGGGTTGTGGCCTTAAAAAGTTGTGGGGGTTGTGGGGGAATATATAAGAGTGTTTTAAAGGTGGTAGAGATATCTTAGGATTGAGAGAGGCAAATATTTTGATCATTAAAGCCTTAAATGGAAGAGATGGGAATTTTATTGGAAATAGGGATAAATAAGAGTTATGAAATATAATCAAAGATTCATCAAAAGGGATCAGTCACTAGGTTTCACCAAAAATAGATAACTATCAGGTCTTGTTATATGAATTTACCACACAGCGTAAGGGTATTTGTAGGATGGTGAGATGGAGAATATTAGAGATCGACATAGGTTGAATGAGAGAAAACTAATGGAGGCTAGGAAAATAGCAGGAAAAACCACCGTACAGCGATATCAGCGAGATACGAACATCAAGGATGATTAACCCCATATTCCTTATCAAGCCACAGACATACAACTTGATGAGGTAAAATGATAGAACTTTTCAAAGAGGAAAAATCAGATAGTAATCTTTAATAATATAAAACTCTCAAAGAAAAGTCATTTGAAACAAATCCAAAGCAGAGAGATATATAGAAGAACCACACATGCAACCCCAATCTTAATTAAAGCAAACAAACAAAGACTTAAGAAGGCTTGGTTGGACTCAACCCCTAGGGGTGGCAACAAATTGAACAAATTCGGGATAAAACTGAATTGAACTGATTTTTTCTACACTAGTCAGTCTAGGATGGATCCAAGGGGGACACCAGTAGGAGGGCTGATAGCGTAACTTGCTCTCTAGTATCTCAGTGCTCCTATAGAGAAAAGAAGTGCATCCAAATGAGTGCCTTGAGGATCGTGCTTGCCATAATTGTGGGAGTAGCATAATACTTTCCATGCTCTTTAACGCGGCAGGCTCTCCAACAATAATGAACCACATAACAATTATGCGAGCCAAAGAAATATTGGAATTCCTGTCTTTGCATTATCCAACCACATGATGTCTTGAAGCTACAATGAAAGTGAGCATTCTAACAAGTTAAGTTTTTGAACAATAGAAACTCTCTTGGGACAAATAGTCATTAAATCTGAAATAGATCTTTTGGCTCAACTTTTTCGTATTAATTGAACAAACAAAAGGAGCATATTAATATTTGCCCCTACCTTGAAGGGCTGATGTCTATTGCTGAATGAATGCTTGAGTTTCTCATTTTATGAGTTATTTGTTGTTGTATTGAACTTATATTAGATTCTTGCTATCATGAATACAATAATACCTTTAGAAATGTCTATATGGGTTTTCTTATTTTGAAGCAATCATTGTGGTTTGCTTATCGAACATCTCCATCATTGCATCCATTTGTTGTTAAAGGAGCCTAACTTGGCCTTGTCTCTCGTTGGGATTTCAGTTGTCAACCTCCCCTTGTCTTCTCTTTAGAGTATATAGGGTCAAGATTGATTCTCCATTCTTCTTATAGCTACGCTGTCAAGACGTTATTCAAAAGTTTTTTTATAACTTAACACTCTGATACTAAAAACTTAAGCAATGAGACATTGTATTAAGAAGGCTGCATGAAGTAAATTGGATGATGCAAGCCAAATCAATATTGAAACTCCTATCTTTAGATAATCCAACTACATGATGTATTGACACTACAATGAAAGTGATTCTACCAAGTTAGGTTTTTTAAACAAGAGAAACTCTCTTGGGCGGAAAAGTCATTGAATTCGAAATAGATTTTTCATTGGTCCATCTATGGGCTCAACCATTCCGTATTAATCCAACAAAACGAGGTTATTAATATTTGCCCCTACCTTGAAGGGTTGATGTCTATTGTTGAATGAATGCTTAAGATCCTCATTTTATAAGTTATTTTTTGCTATAATGAACTTCTATTAGTTCCTTGCTATCATGAACACAATAGTACCTTTAGAAATGTATATCTGTGTTTCTTATTTTAAAGCAGTCATCATGGTTTTCTTACTAAACAACTCCATCATTGCAACCATTTATTGTTAAAAGAGCGTAACTTAGCCAAGTCACTATGGGTTTCTCGTTGAGATGTTAGCTGTTGACCTCTCATTGTCTTCTCTTCGGATTATCTAGGGTCAGGATTCATTATCCAATTTTCTTATAGCTACTTTGTCAATACATTGGTCCAATTTTTTTCCATAATTTAACACTCTGATACCAAAAACTTAATCCATGAGACATTATATTATGAAGGCTACATGTAGTGAGGAGAATAATCATGATTCGATGTGAAGCATGGATCTAAACAGGAAATTTTAGGGCTACAGTACAAGGAGGAAGACACTATTCTTTGAATTTTTTTCCCTCTCTAGTTTTCCTTTTCCCTATGTTTCTCTCAAATCTTAGGGATCATGACACAACCACAAAACTAGGCCCACTATAAATTTTGAGCTTCAAATTAATTTTAGACTTTTGCATCACATGCAGCATGAGCTCTTCTATTAATTTTTGATCCGATTTTTTTAGTTGGTATAGGTCCTTGACAGATAATGTGTGTTTGATACCGTTCTAATTTTTTTATTGCATGTTTAAAGTGGATTGCCAATGCCTGCCATCCATTGGTCTAGATCTAATATCCTACTTAAGTTTACTTCATTTTGCTATTTATCTCTCTTAACTTCTTAATTAGATTCAACTTGGTTGTTTGCTACTTCATAATGTTGCTTTTTTTTTTTATCTAAGAAGAAGCCACTTTATGTGAAGTAGTCATGCATGTTTATTGTTGTCGCCAATCATATACTTGTAGCTAGGGCTTTGAGTTTTCCTCTAAGATTACTCTATAATCCAATCAATTTTGCCTCGGATCAAAGTCAACAGGCTCAACTTGGCTTTGGTTGAACTTAAATTGAATCAAGTTTTGATTGGATCAAGATAACTCAAAATCGGATCTAATGATATATGCACGCATGCATGTACGTACTTGCATGCATTTGCTTGTGTGCGCGCGTGCACCATGAGTGCGAGCACTCGTGCGCATGTGCAAGTGGGTGTATATTTGTAGGATTATGAATTTCTCTTAGGAGATCATATAAATTTGTCTTAATTTGGGCTTGAACCAACATTAACAATTTGGTTTATGCATGCTTATTTTGGTAAACTTGCATGCATTTTTCAGAGGACTATTTTTTGGCTTATGCATGCTTATTTTAGCAAACTTAGCAAATTATACTCTTCCCATCATCATCAGAAAAGATATGAGCTGTTGGTTTTTTATATACCAATACCATCATGCGGTGTATTGTTCTAGTTTTAACATTCCATGCCATTATGTTTACATGATCGTTTAGGTTCCATGACTCTCTCCCATAATGTTATATCCGGAATGTAGAATATTAGACCATTAAACTGCGTCCTGAAGAAGTGGTCTTCCTGTTTGTCTTGTTCTTATTTTGCAATCATGAACTACTGATTCTTTAGCTAGATCTTTGTTTGTGTTTCGGATATTTCTGTACACATTCTTCTCATTGCTTGGCAGTCAGCTGGAGCTGATGTAAATCAGGAATTCTTCCGGGGTTATGCGATAACTGCTGCTGCCCGTGAAGGCCATTGTAATATACTCAGCATGCTTTTGAAAGCTGGAGTATCCCAGTTTGCTTGTGAGGATGCATTATTGGAGTCTAGCCTATGTGGTGAGGCCGAAGCAGTGAAACTATTGATCCAGTCAGAAATGGTCAGGGCAGATGCTGCTGCACATGCTCTCGTGACGGCATCCAGTAGAGGTTTCCTTGATGTGGTGGCTGCATTAGTTGAGGTGAAACATTTTTGAAAGATTTACATATATACCACTCAATTCTTATGTATTACATATCCAACACCTAAAGTTCAATTTTTACGTACATGCCACCTTTCCTTTGTTTGAAAAGTGTGTTTCACTTTTTTAAAAGTTTAAATGCTGGTAAGTTTGATGTGATATAAGAGGTTTGGGTGGTATAAATGTAAAAATTAAAGTTTAGTGTGTTAGATATGTACATACATAGGAATTAGGTGGTATGTATGTAAATGCCCCCAACATTCTTTTTTTTAGCACATTGACTGACAATACTAATTCAGTACCATTGAATCTCATTTTAGCAATATCTTGTGTCATAAGCTACTTTCTATTATTCTGAATCATTTGAGCTTCATTTTTCAGAATGGGGTGGACGTAAATAGCTTGGACAGAGTCCTACTACGGTCAATCAAGCCCACCCTGCACGCGAATGTGGATTGTACTCCTTTAGTTGCTGCTATTGTCAGCAAACATAAGCCAATCGTGAAATATTTGTTAGAGGTGACAATCCAAGTCCTTCACTGTAGGCAGTGGCCCATCTCAGCAACTCAGTTATTTTTGTCAATTTTCAACCTTACCATGCCTGATTTGCATTACATATTTGATAAAACCTTGTGTGTAATGAAGAGAAAGACTCATGTTTTTATTTTTCACCCCACTGGTAGTGCACGCTATATGCTAATTGCAATGATAACATTTAGAGGAATTTTGTCTGCTGCCTATTAGTGTAGTCTTTAATTCTATGCTCTTCACTCTGTGAATGTGAGTTCTAGAATATTAGGAATGCTAGGCTGTGTCATCAGTAACTATTTTTTGCTCTTGGGAAGGTGCGACCTTCAAGTGAGGTACTTTAGTATTGAAAAACAAATGGCCCTTAGTTGAACATTTCGTTATTAACCATCGAATAATTTTTGTTGAGATAAGTGTCAAAATAGTCCATGGACTCTTTGATCTTTTTAATCTCATAGCCTATATAAATGTCAATTTAGTCCCATACTCTTTTTATTATGGCTTAAATAGTCTCATATTAAAAGAGCCCGGGACTAAATTGACACTACTACCTACTCTATTTTTGTTTTGTTACTGTAGTTAGTACATAAATTGCATTGTTGTGCCAGTGTATAATAATATCCATTCAGTAACTTTAGTTTTGGAGTGCAGGCAGGTGCCAGTACAACTTGTCTGATACAGGTGGGCGCTTGGTCCTGGGATCCTATTTCAGGAGAAGAGGTGAGAGTAGGCGTCTGCTTGGGAGAGCCTTATAATGCATTATGGTGTGCTGTAGAGTTCTATGAAGCAAGTGGTGAGATTCTCAAATTATTACTTCTGCATTCCCCTTCTTTGCTAGAAGATCCATATCTTGGTAGAACTCTTTTTTGCCATGCCATACTTTGCCAGAATTCCAATGCAATAAAAGTACTGCTTGCTCTTGGTGCCAATTCTAACTTCCCCCTGAGAACAAAACAAGGCCATGAATCCTACCCAATTCATCTTTCTGCTAAACTTGGCAATGTCCACGTCTTAAAACAGTTAATTTCACATGGATGTGATGTCAATGCCAAAACTTCAGCTGGAGAAACTCCTTTGATGGTCTCTGCCAAAGCCAATCATGCTGAATGTTTCTTAGAACTAATTATAGCAGGGGCGGACTTAGGTTTGATCAGCAATTCAGGAGGCAGCGCCATTGAACTGGCAAAGCAGGGCGTGTTTTCATCTTCTATCCCTGATATTCTTTCTCAGGCTTTGTATACTGGGGCAACAATCCATTCAAGTAATCTGAGAGTATTTTCTCCATTGCATTTTATTGCTGGTTGTGGTCATGCAGAAGCACTCCAGATGTTTCTAAATTCTTCCACTGTAGAACTTAACAAGCTCGACAACTCTGGGCTCACGCCTCTCATGGTGGCGGCAATTGGAGGCCATTTGGAGGCTTTTCGACTGCTCGTGATGGCTGGAGCTGATCTTACAGTAAGATCAAGTGATGGCAATACCATTTTATCTATCTTGCTGCATGAAAATATAGCAAGCTTCAGGGACTATCTTGAAAAGGTCTTACTTGATGGAGTACTTGGTAATGTGATATCAAACACACAGTTTAAAGCTCTTCATTATGCAGCGAAGAAAGGGGATGGTTCATCAACAATCCAACTTATAAAGATGGGATACCAAGTCAATTCTCTAGATGAGAATGGATATTCTCCTCTCATGCTTTCTGCCATGGAAGGCTTCTCCGATGTGTGCAAGATTCTACTCGCACGTGGAAGTGCGGACTCTGAGCTTATAAACGACCGAAAGGAGACGGCTTTATCGTTGGCAAGGTGCAGTAGCAGGTCAAACAAGGCAACGGAGGATGTACTAATGGATCATGTCGCTCGGTCCCATGTTCTCGCCGGGGAGGAGCTCTCCAAGCACACTAGAGAGGGGAAGGGCAATCCTCACATGAAATCGGTTCGAATGCTCAAGTCTGGCGTGCTGAGTTGGGGGAAAACGAACAGAAGAAATGTGATGTGTAAGGAGGCGGTGGCAGGACCGAGCTTAAAGTTTCTGAAGAATTGGAAAAAGAATGATGGGCATAACAAAGCTGAGATCTTTAAAGTGGTGACAGTGAAAGGCAGAGAAGTTCATTTTGAGGCAAGTTGTGTCTCTTGCATGGAGCTTTGGGTTCGCGGTATTAATCTCGTCACAAAGGAGGCTACTTCCGGCGTGACTTGAAAGGAGCTGGAGTTCTCTGCTTATACGGCACCATGGGTAACAATTTGACTCTAAAATTCAAAGTTGAAAAGAAAAAAATGAAGTCGATACTCAAATCATCCTTCTTGCAAAGCACGCTGATCTTTATTTTTTGATTTGTGATCAGTTTGCTGCAATTGGGAAGTGATTTACCATGAAATTCACTGTTGGTTTAAACGCTTGGTTTTGTAATTTCATTGCAAAGTATGTGAAAATTTGTGCAAGCGTTTGACTTGTCTCTTTGCATATGGAAACCATGGGTTCTTAGTTTGAGCAAGAGCTGTACTCTTTTGCTTTGCTACCCTGGAGTATGAGATGTTTACTGGACTTTTCTTATCTCTGTGAAGGCCTCTGTTGCCCGGGTTGCTTTATTTATTTTTTAATTAATTAATTATATTAATTATTTTCTTATCTGTAGAGCGCACAGGCTCACAGACATATGTGTGCGCGCACGCGCTATGTCCCGGCTCATTGGTGCGGCCTCTGACATAAATTTCTCGGGTCGGGGGTTTGAATCCCGTGACGCGAACTCTTCAGATCAATTAAAACACACTTGAGTTTTGATCCAAATCAATGAAGCGTTATTCCACTAAACCAAATACTGATTCTCTTTATATATATATTATATAGGGTAGTGAGAGATAAATTTATAGAAGAAGGTATGGTGTAATTGAGTCAAGCTGACTTGTGAGTTAGCTCAGGGCTCGACTCAATTAGTGGTTTGCTAGCTATGCTTAATGAGCTAATAAGTTAAGCTCAAGCCAGTCTCAACTTATTAGCTTGTGAGTCAACTAGTCTAAAAAAATGTTTATATAAAATCCAATAAAAAAATTATAATTAAAGGCTTTATTTAAAAATTATTGAAAACATTTAAAAATTTATATTTTATAGTTTATATTAATAGATTTCTTATTATTTATTTTATAATTACTTGTTTCTTTTTCTCTTTTTATTAAAACAATGATTTGGTTTAATATTGTTTATCTTTTATAATAAATAAGTCATTTTCAATTTGTAGAATTTATGCTCAGGTTTATGATCAAAATTAATTGATTAATCAAGCTCAAAATTAAGCTGAAAATGGCTCTAGCTCTTGTAGCTCCATGACTAGTGAATATTGTTCTCTCTTATTGTCTAAGCAAGAAAAAAAATCTCTATTGTTCGGATTCATAATCCTAGGCATGTGGCATATTTATTATTATTATTATTTTTTTTTTTTTGTAGAAAATTGGCTAATTATATTATGGCCCCATTAGATTGCTAACACCAACCAATTTTGTTTTTGGAAATTGTAAGTTTCCATCATCACTTTTCATGAAATTTTAAATAAGTTCATGGGATTTGAAATCAATTTGATGTTATATATTTCTAGCTAGTTAAGCTACTAAAGTTTATTACTTTTCAAAAATATTTATAGGTGATAGCAATTATTAATCAACACAAAGAGTGAGTTTCAACCTATTGGAAAAATCATTGATTATGATGATAAAGAGATGATCGAACTAGAAAATTATGATTGAGCCACGATTTTGTTCGCATCAGACTGAGGGAATAGATAATGTTTGACCATATGAAGAGAAAATATATTGGAAACACTGCGGCTATTGGATGTACTGCTTTAGGTTGACATGTCACCACGTGACTGGTCAATGAATAATTGTCATAAATATCGTATGTCCATCGGCCCTTTTGCCTTCGTTGCTTTTAAATCTTGGGGGTCCTTTTTTCCGTTCTGTACACAAAAATGCAGAAATTGAATTATGAGAAATTGTTAGGAGTGAATATTGGTGAACTCCAAGTGAGTGGCTCGAGGAAGGGGGTGAGGAAGAGTCAAATAACTCATACTTGCCTCCTAAGCATATAAACGTATGCTTGGACAGTCAATTTGGAAGAGTAAGAATACTCTTCCTCAACACATGCAAATATGATGCAATTATTATCTAGAGAGATCCTTAATATGAACACCCTAGTATATGACTTGGGTTAATCTCATGCAAAGAAAAACAATTTTAAAGCTGGCTTAAAGGCTATGCAGGAAAATAAAGTTAGGGAATAAAATGCTCATTTTAAAAAGAATAATTTAATTATAAATTTTATTAAGATAAATCTTTTAATATTAACATTTGTAAAAAATAAGTTTTGTGCTAAAGAACCTAAGCACAAATGCAAGTGATTCCCACACAAATCACAACAAGTCAACCCACTACATAAAATAAAAAAAAAAGTAAATACACCATATGAAAAAATAGATGTCAGGCCGTGTATCGCTAGGTCAGTTACATACCCTAAAAAAAATATTGTGATCATGCTTTACATATACATGCATGATCCTCATATTATATAACAAATAAATTTATACTCAAGATACAGTGCACGGGAATATTCCTCATCCATGTTGCATGGTTTCCCATATCAGGTCATCAAAAACTCGTGCTCATAACTTATTTCTAGTACAAACTCTAACTTAAAGATGTTTAACACAAAATTAAAACAATAATAATAATTAATTAGATAAGTAATTATTTGCTGACCTTCTCCCGCCCAAAACTCCAGTTCGAGTGAACAGCAACTCCCGCTTTTACCGTCAGTTACAAACAAAGGAACTGTTTCGTTCCACTTCTTCCTCTCGTTCATTCTGTCCGCTCGAAACCACACAGAATTCCGAAGCCCTCTTGGATCTGAACTCACTGTTCTTCTCCGTTTGGTTTTCTTTCTTCTTGTTGCTCTAAGCCACGAAGCCTGCTTTGCCCTCTCTGGATCAAAATTGTAAGTTTTTTATAACTTCTATCTTCTTCATTGTTTGCACATAACTACTTACCTGTATTTCTTCGCCGCTTTGTTCTTTTCCCATCACATACAAATCTTACGACCCAACATTTCTTCTTCCTCTTCACTGTTCATCCGCTTGTTCGATCCTTGCATAGTAGTCACTTGAAAGGCAAACCGAAGCCTCTATCTCACCTGAATCCCTCGTGCGGCAGTCGCGATTAGCGCTAAATAGGAAGGTAGCGAAGGGATCCCAAAGCCTGCGCATCGCTTCTTGCCGCAAACCACCGAACCTTCCTTTGCACTGCACTGTCGGCGACGCACAAGCCTTGCCTCAAAGTCACGCCTGCTTTACCCTAAGCTTTCCTCCCCTTTCACTGATCATGCCGGAAGCGCTCGCCGAACTCCATCCTATAGCAATCGAAGTCGTAATCCCTTCAGAGCCGATCGTCCTAGCCTCCCACAGAGCCGACACGACCTCCTTGCCCAAAACTTCACTGTTGCGCCACCCTAGAAGAAATTATTGCCCGCAATCCTTCCTCTCCGTCCTTCAAGCGATCTCCTCCTTCCTAAAGCCCGAGCAGCTCCTCTCTGCTTCGCCTCTGCCCTCCTGTAAATGGCACGAAGGGTGTGTTTGAGGCAGCTTATTGGCTGCGGAGGCGTTTTCAAAACGCCGTCTCACCGTTTGGATAGTGCGTTCCGAAAACTTATATGAAAATGAAGTTTTTATTTTACATTAAAAGCCCACCGCGGGTCATACCCTGCGGTCCGCGTTTGTGAAAAATTTTGGTGAGGCCACCCTCGTCCCAGAACGAGAAGCTCTCGCTGTCGACTCGTCCCCGAACGTGAAGCTCTGGCTGCCAGCAGAGACCACCGAATGGATCGCTGCCTGCAGAGCCACCGAAGCTCTTGGGAGCCCTTCCTCTCTAAGCTCACGATCGAGCTTCGCTGGAAAGGCGAAGGGATGGTTGCCTGCAGAGACCACCGAATCTCCCATCCTTCTCATTCCTCTGCTCCGCTCCGACCAAAAACCATCGAAGAAGGTAAGGATTCTCTCCTCCAATCCGCCACCAACCTCTCCGCCATTCCCCACCTCCGTCATCTCTTATCCAAGGCTTCTCATGCGCTATCACGCAGCCAAACCCTCTCCTCCCCTTCCACCATCCTCTCCCCAATCATCCCCCACAACACCGACCACCTCATGTGATTATCCATCGGAACTCCCCCGGTCCAAGTCCTCGCCGACATGGACACCGGCTGCGACCTCACGTGGCTTTGTTGCCTCCCCTATTCCGACAGCCTAACCCGCAAAGTTCATTTTTTTAACCCATTTCTCTTCTCCTCCTTCCAATCACCCCCCACCTCCCAAAAATGCAAACTTTTCAATCCCGACGAAAGCCCCATTCTGTTCCTACGAATATTGCTACGGAGAAGGATCGTTCTCCTCCATAATCCTCTCCACTGAAATGCTCACCTTCGAATCCACTAACGGCGAACCAATCTCCATCCCGTAGATAAAGCAGATGTTGATTCAAGGTTTTAAATTAATAGTATTTTCTAGCAACTTGAACTTTCTCCCACAAGATATTATGTTTGTGTATTTAGAATTTGTTTTTGAAAGCTTTACATACACACAACTCAATTCTTTTGTATTTTCATGTTTCTGATTGGGAAATGAGTAAATTTTTGGGTGCTATGTTTGTATCGAATGAGTCTGAAGGGATTTAATTGATTTTAAAATATCTAAGGGATAGATATTGCAGTTTTGTAGATAACATTACAAATTTTGTGTGTCAGATTGTTAATTTAATTAAAAAAAATCTGTAAATAAGTTGTTTACAAAACGCACAAACCAAACAGTTATAACAACTTATCAGAAACAGAGGCAGAATGGTCATTTATTCAGGATCAACTATTTTCCAAACTCACAAACCAAACAGATAGACAGCTTATTCGGATCAGCTGCTTATCACCAGCTTATCAGGATAAGCTGATTATCTGGATAAGCTGGATAAGTTGCAGCTGCCCCAAACAGATCTGAAGTCTTTCTATAACCCGAGTCGCCCTTGCTCTAGCGCTCCAGAGCCTTAAATCCTTGTGCATGCTTTGCTAAACCGAGCCCCTCTTCTTTATTTGAGCTCGAACCAATCCAAATTCAGCCAAACAGTGCCTAAATTCTTTTATTGCTTAATTTATTGTTTATATTTACATTGTAACTGCACAAAAAGAAAAAATTTGTCATGTATTTTTGTGTTTTATTGTATTGTTGTCATCAATCGTCTCTATCGGTAAAAATTTTTCTCTGCGGACTCTTGAGGTAGCGACGCAGGGTATTTTTGAGTTATTTTCAGGTTATTTCTGGGTTATTTTCAATAATCCTAAAATAACCCAGAAATAACCCGCGGACTTTTTTTTGGGTTATTTCGGGATTATTGAAAATAACATAGAAATAACCTGAAAATAACTCAGGAATAACATGCACCGCACGTAGATGTACGTCAGGTGTCCGAACAAAAAATGTGTGTCTCTACCGGGGCTCAAAAATATTTCGCGTTGGGGAGC